CAAAAACTGTTAAATAGTTTTGACAATTTAAACAGTTTGATGACCTGGATCAATGGTTTACTGATCAAATCAATAGTTTTTTTCCAAAAGACAATTCTAGGGTAAAATGGAATTGGTCAGATGACCGGTTCCCAATTTTTCCGGTTTTGGAAATCATGAGTTGGGATCTGTTTCATAAGTTTTGGGTTGGTATCTTATTTTTTAGCTAATGAATTGGGTTATAATCTAACATTACGGTGTACGCCTTTCAGATGAAAGTAAAAATTCTCTTTTGTACGAGGTGTTGCGTTTTTTTTATTAAAAAAAAAAGGAAAAAGAGGAAAAAAAAAGTCAGAATGGGTGTAAAAGGGTTAATATTTTGTTTGAGTTACAAACCATAATGATTTATAATGTAACAATTGTTGATATAGGCAATAAGGCCAAACGAATTATTTATATTCTTAGCGATGCTTGTTTTTATTATGTTTGCTTGGATTTCTTTATTTTTGTTTCTATTGAGTTTATGAATTAGTGTGTTTTATAGTCTATCACTTTATTGTACATGTCTTGTTTATATTGTAACAGATAAAGTCCTTTTTTTTAAATATTACTTAATAGTTAATAATAATTCAAATTATTTATGCAAATATTGAGTGGAGAACCTAAATTAATCGTCCTTCCAATGTTAAATATTGTTGGATGGTAACATTTAGCTAAGCCAAAGGCACAAGCATATATAGCGTGTTCACGTGATGAAAAGGTAATTAATCAATGTTATTCCTTAGTGGGTTCCAACTTTTGCGGGTTAGGTTTAGGGTTTTGTCAAATTTTCAATGGGCCTAAGCCCAAAATAGTGTAAATTATTAACTCAGGCCAATTCGACTTGCACCCTTATATTCATTAGCAGTGATCATGGACTGGACCAGAATTAACACCTTTGATAGGGACCATAGGGTCTATATACAGTACAGGTATGGACCCAGCCTAGCTCAGACTTTGCGCCTAAAAGCTCGGGCCCAAGTCTATTTGGGACAAACCCAGATTTCCTACCCATTCTCTACTCACTATGAATTGCAGTCACACATCTCTCAATTCATAATAGAGATGTGTGGCTCCAATTCACGATGGATAGAGAATGGGTAGGAAAAGTGAGTAGGAAATCCCAAGTGATTTGGGATCAGAGGTTTCCCAAAGAGCTTATAATATCACACTTACCGTGTCAATAAGGATTACAGAAGGATGAAACCCATATCCAACAGAGACAACCGAAACTTTACAGGTTTTAAACAATTAGGCTGTGTTTGGTTGCTGTGCAACTTTATTTGCACTAATACAAATGTATGGAAGTATAAATGAAAAGAATACAAATTATGTTTTTAATTTTGTAATGTAACTTCTCAAAAAGAAAAAGAGAAAGAACAATATCTTCCCATCACAACTTGTGGTGGTTTGAAAAAACATGTCCCCAAATCAACCCTCTACATTTTATAATTTATTTTATATATAAATTTTTTGTTTCATAACAGAGAGAGAGAGAGAGAGAGACTGCAGTGATCGATCTCCATTAGACTGGAAATATATGCGATGAAGATATTGATGGCAACAACAACGGCTGTAGGGTTTTATGTTTTTCTTGTTTTCTTTTATATTTTGCCTACTTGCTTACAATGGCTTCAAGGGATTTAATGTTTTAAAACTCAGAGTAGACCGAATGTTGGGAAGATCCAAAAATCAAGGGCCCCAACATTAATATGCTATCTGATTCGAAACCTACATACACATCAAACCAATATTCAATTGTTGAATTTACTGATCGAAGCCATTACATCAATGAAATGGACTCATTAACTCCTTTCAGAGTTAAATATGTTTTCTAACATTTTCTTTTTATCCTTTGGGTTGGTTTTCTCTACCATGTTTAAGGCCAAGTTGTGTGATCAACCCAGCAATTTAAACGGCTTTGGTCGGATTAACGTGCATTTGGATTCAATCAATGTTTTAAAAATAAAAACCGACCGGGAGGCTGATCCGTTGATCATCATTTCATTTGCTCCGGTCAACCCGTAACATGGGTATCAGTACTTTCATTTCCTTCCACTGTATGGATCGTAAAAAATTACTCAAAATTAAAAAGAACAAAGAAAATCATCCTAATCCGATCATAGGGTACAAATTTATTGCCTCTAGAAATTGTCACATATATTGTAACTTGTAACCCATGATTCATTGACCGGGTCAAGCATGTTGGCAGTTTAACGGGCTGAGCCAGCATGTCACTAACCAGGTCAACAGTTTTTTGAATAATGGCAGGCAGGTGGAACGGTCCAACCAGTTGGGTTAACAATGGGTTGAAAATACTAGATTCAATCTCACATTTTCTCTCGCCATCTCTTATCACCAAGTTTTTCCACAAAAACGATGGAAAATATTTTGATAAGAGCACTTTCTAAATTTAGGCATCCAACATGACCTTTTTCCATTAATTTCTATGATTTTTTAGAATATGAAAAATGAAGTTTTTTTTTTTTTTTTGCACTTTTTCATGGAGGCAAAGTACAGAAACTGTTTTTTTTTCTACTTTTATTAATATTGTTAAAAAAATTTGTACTTTTTAAATAATAAATATAAAATGAAAAATACTAATACATGGAAATTATATAATATGGACATGAACCGTAACCACACAACCCCCTTTCTATTGTCATACCTTCCCTTTTTATGATATGGGGCCCATAAAGTTAGAGGCTAAGGTTACTTGCTTGTCCCACCAAAGACAGTGATTTCCACATAGTAGTAGGACCCATATAAAATATTGAATAAATACAAAAAAAAAAAAAAAGCTTTGGGTTTTTCACTACGGTGGATTAACTTAAGAAATAAGGAAAATTAATCCAATGGGTTCTTTCATTATACTTAGTTGTTATAAGTAATTAAAATCTTACCTTAAGGTTATATTTGGTTCGAAGAAAAAGTAGGTAAAAATTCCTTTAGGCTTTGTTTGGTTTGTGAGAAGATTTAAGTGGGATGGGAAAAAATGGGATGGGAAAGTGTAAAAATCTATTCTTCCATTGTTTGGTTTTATACATGAGAAAATAATAAGAAAACACAGTTTCAAGGAGAAAAGAAAAGAAGGTGAGGGAGAAGAAAACACTATGTCTGCGACTAAATCTACGAACCCAAAAGAAGAAAGAGAGGAAGAGAGGAGAGAGGGAGGAAGGGAGTGTCTTCGATCTGTGTTTGCGAACCCAGATATAAGTTCTACCATGGCAGAACTTAGATCTGTGTCTACGAACCCAAAAGAAGAAAGAGAAGAAGAGAGGAAAGAGGGAGGAAGGGAGTGTTTCCGATCTGTGTCTGCGAACCCAGATCTGAATTCTACCATGGCAAAACATAGATCTGTGTCTACGAACCTAGAAGAAGAAAGAGAAGAAGAGAGGAGAGAGGGAGGAAGGGAGTGGCTGAGAGGGGGTGTCGCTGCCGTTACTCTGTTTCTAGGTTCGAACGGGGAAGGGTGTCGTCGTCACTGGTTTCACCGAAAGAGAGAATGAACTGTGGTTTCTTACATTTTTCCACAGGGGTTGCACGGTTTTGGTGCGACCCTAAATCCATGATTTTGGAATCTAATATCCCACATTTTTCTCATCTCGTCCCCCTCTTTCCCTCAAACCAAATATGATAAAAAGAGAATATTTTTGGAATATTCCCCTTTTTTCATCCCCATCCCACAAACCAAACAGAGCCTTACAAAACTTATATAATTTTTCTCACCTTTTACTACAAACCAAACATAGCCTTATAGTAACAATAACCTCTCGATTACAAGCAACACCACCATCACCAATACAGAACTCTACACCTACCTCTAACCCTAAAATAAACCCTCAAGCATTTGCCATTGGGCAAAAAAGAAACTCGTAGAAGATGAAGCCAAGCTTTGCCTCATCTCCACCATAGCATCTCTTCTCTAATCTGAACTCTTGACTCATAGATTCAAAAAAGTGGTGAAGAGAATGCAAGAACTTTGGGGTTATGTTTGGTTTGATAGAAAATTAGAGAGAACCAGAAAACAGAGGAAAATCTGTGAACCCTTTCTCTGTTATATAAAAAAAAAAACAAACACAGCCTTGAAAGATTTGAAAGTGATATCAATTAGGTGAGTGTTGAATGTGAGTCTCTGGATTGGCCATGTGTTATAGAATCCTAAAAATCACATTGGCATGTTTTTTTTCAAAATTAGATTAAAGTTTTCACCCATTGATCAATAATAACCTTTAATTTTTAATGATCATAAAGCAAGTTCATTTTGGACCAATTTTTTCTCTAAGATGAGGAGAATACCCCCCTTTTGAGTCCCAAATTATATGAGGGGCAAAATTGTAATGAAAACTTGTTAATTATTAAATAAAGGTAGTAATAAATGTATTTTCTAAGGAAAATCAGTAACTGCACTACCAAGTATAATTAGAACTCACTAAAATAGGAAGCTTAATCTAACCACATGACAATAAGGGAATTTGGGCTCAAATTTGCCCTATTAACAGGGGAGATAACAAGAGAATGGTCTAAGCCCACGTTCTGCCAACACCAATTCGCCATATGGAAAAAAAAAACAAAAAGAAAAAGAAAACTATACTAAAAATAAAAATATTTCAAATAGAAAACTAAAAAAATAAATAAGTAAATAATAAGTGAATTCTTTTTCCTTTGCAAATGGCAATCGCTTCTACAGTTGCTAGAATTATTCTCCACCAAAAATAGACACGTGGCAAAGATGTAAACTCGATCACTAAAATTATGTTTGGTTTGAAGGAAAAAGTAAAGAAATGAAAATTTATACAAGATTTGTTCTGCCTTTCCTTTCCTTTTTCTACTTTTTTCTTTTAAACCAAACACAGCTTAAGGATTGGGGGAGCGACTATAACAGCGACACATCATCGTAATCAAATAATATTTTAATGGAAATTAAAATATCAAAACCAAACTCTGTCTCAGTCTCAGAAGTCAGAAGAAGACAAAGAGAAACCGAACCCAGTCTGATTCTTGTCTGTTTTCTCCGCTACTTTGGCTGCTGTGCTCACACAGAAATACCCAGAGAGAGAGAGGGCCAGTGACAGTGGGAACGAAGGAGGATTTCGCCAATAAATCTCCATCTCATCCGTCCATCTGTCTGTCCAACTATCGAGCTCAGAAATGTATGCCGACTTTGGAGTTGCAGACCTGTTTCCATACTTTCAGGGCTTCTCTCTGGAAGTTGAACCCCTCGAGGAGTTCTGTGGCTTTCAGAAGAACAATGCTTCAACTGTAAATCTCATCTTGCCTTTTCCTCTTTCGTTTGTTAAATTACATCTATTCAGCTTAACTTTAACAGAGTTCGAGTAGATTATAGTAGAGTTTGAATTCTGATTGGGGTTTTTTAAGCATGGAATCTCTGCTGCGGATTTTAAGTCAGGGTTTACTGCTTTTTTTCTTTCTTAATTCGATACTTTTCCTCCTTTTTTCTTTATTTTTCCTTTTCGGCTGGTGCCTGATTTTGTGTTATGAACAAGTCACCGCTCGAATGAATATTTCCAATTTTCCATTGGTTTATAAGTAGTAAGGAGAGTTCATTCCTTGTACGGTTCTTTTTCCTTTTCTTTTCGTCAGAATCCATTTTCTTTTGATGTAAACGGAATTTCGCTCGCTTCAAGGTCCTCTGTTTCTGTACTGGATCTGAAAAAGTAAACAATAATCGTAGTCTACTGTTTTTCAGCTAAGTTCACATAAACGAGCGGCTTTTCTATTTCAATTTCCGTACATCAAATGAGGAAAGGGGAGGAAGAAAAGGGAAAAGATGAAGAAAAGCGAAAGTTGATCTTCTCTTTTTTTTCGCTTTTCTTCCCTCCACCATTATACTGATAGCTTTGCTCTGTCTGAGAGAGAGCTAGTAATGTCGCAGAGGATTTTCGTTTTGCCGGAAGATGGAACGTCCGGGTATTTTCATCATTTAAATATTTGAGGGGCAATGATTTATTTGTGTCAAATGTCAACCTTGCCCCGACGAATTTTATGGTTTTTCTTTTCTTTTTGGTTTTTAGCATGAAAAAGGATGTCCGAATTAAGAAGCGTTCAACATGGGTAACGCCCTGATGGATCAAAATGACAAAGTTGTCCTGTGCCTGGTTTTACTCGAACTCTCACCCACACATAACCTTGTTAGAGCTGAATATGCTTTTCTTCTCTCAGTTCTTTCGTCTATAGACTGCAAATAAGAAAAGAGTCAATGATAATTCATTTCCTTTGTTCAAGAAATAATAAATAGATAAGACTATTTATTTTATCTTTTCCTCAAGCAATTGTTGTTGATGATGTGGAAGCTCCATATTCAAAGGGGAATCTTCAGAGTTATGAACAACTCTGGTCCTGAAAATTGACAATGGTTATTTATTTATCACTTCACACTGCTCCCAAATGTTAAATATTTGGTGTATGTAGTAAGAACCGGCTATTCTGCAAAGGATTGTATTGCTGGGAACATTTAAGGCACTTAGAAATATGATTGCAAGGAAAACATCATTGTTCATTTTTCTTTTTTTTTTCTTTTCCTTTGTTTGTTTCTTTTAATTTTGTGCTATATCATTAACTTTTTTTTTCGACATTGTTCTGATTATCTGCAACCATTTTCTGTATTTTGTACTTCGACAAGATGCACCTTATCTTATTCGTATGATGGGTCCAAAATGTTGAAGCCAGTTGGATGGAAATAATCTGATAACGGAATACTGTGTAATCAAGAAGCTTCACTGTTTTTATGAGTGAATGAGCACTCTGTTCAAGATCTATGCACCTTATATCACCCAAGAATATCCAATTAAATTGTAGGATTCCCTTGGTTCCTGCTGAAACAAACTATTTGTTAAGCCTACAATTCGACCATGGGTTGCATAGACCTATTACCCCTCCAACCTAGGAAGTTGTCTTTATTATTCATTATTTTCCTCTTCTCTTGGTATCTTACTCTACTTTGTTTTTCTGTAGAGCAACCTGATTCAGACATTCACCATCTCAGAATATGACCTTGGGGGAGAAGGAGATCTCTTCAAAGCTCCAGAACCTATCATAGAAGAACCAGAGATGGCTCTTGATCCCATTACAGCTGCCGTTTCAGTGATTTCTTCTGGGGAAAATGTCATGTCCTACCAAATAATAAAGGACACAGACATGGAATCAATTCAAGGCGAGCACCTACTGAGTGAGGTATTCTATGGGTGCAAAAATGCTCTCATGGCGAAGTCTGCCATATCATCCCCTGAAGTCTCAGATATCAAGTTTCCTTCCATGTTAATGGAGGATGTTCCAATTGCAGAGAAAGATCAGTTAGTCATGGAGGGGCCAATTGAGAAAACTTTTAGCTCAGAATGTTTGAGCTCAATGGAGTGGACAAATTGTGGTGCTATAAGACCAAACTTCCTTGATTTTCAGGTGGACTTTGATGATGCCTATGGAATTCGAAGAGCATTCAGTGAAGGGGATATACAGGTCAGAATCATTATTTCATCTTGTCTTTGAGCCTTTCAATTGTGTTTTCTTTGTTGTCTATAATTCCGTAAGTGAGCTAGTAAAATACTCTCTAAGAGGCAGAACTTTATACCTGCTTGATTGCAGCACCTATTTGTAAAAGAGATTATCCACCTGTAAATTAGGAAGTTTTAAATGAGAAAAAGAGTATTACCAAGTACCAACTAACTATTAGACGTTAGCACAATCTGCTGGCATAATTTTTTAGGACAGTACATCCCTTCTAAGAGGTATGTGACTAAATATGCACTTTTAAATATCATTGAGGACACCTGAGTAGAGAAACAATTGTACTTTCACTGATAGAACCTCGTAATTCTCTCAAATTTCTAGTGTATAATAACAGCTGTAAATGTACTTGTATATGTTGTGACCACGAAGCATTTATTGCCTAGAGAGCAAAGTTATGCATACTGAAAAACGTATAGCTGTTTCTGGCCATTTCCAGAGGATATGGGGGTGGGTCATTGATTTTGAATTTTCATGACAGACTCTTGGTGATGGTAATATGAACTTCATCCACTCTCACTTTAAGCGGCCATTTACCATTGGCAACTACACCATTGAAGAACGCATGCAAAGGCTTTCCAGATACAGGAAAAAGAAGATGAAGAGGAACTTTGGCCGGAAAATTAAGGTAAGCTAGTAATTCTCTCTAAAAACATACTCCTATTGATCAGTAAAGTTTGTCGGGGAAGGGAGCTTCACGCCTTCACCTTAGAACCATATTCTGCACATATTGTTCCCTTCCAACCACGGGATGGTTGGGCCAATCTCAAATTTAATACAGCTGCTCCTCTCAGTGCGGCCAATTTACCAGAATTTACATAAGATGGGTTGTTCTTTGTGATATGCCTCAATTGAAGTGCCAATCTACATAGCCTGTGTGATTTGCTATTGAGATAGTTGTGACTTATTGAATCTTGGCATGGTGATGATTTATAAAATCTCACCATTGGCCCTTTTCAAAGGCAAGGTTCAAAATATTGATACGCCGGTAGAGGTGTATCGGGCGTTTCGATACTTGTTTTTTTTATTTTTTTTTTCAAAACTGGTTCAGGGGAGCTGGTCTAGGACCCCTCCATCCCCTGAACCGGTCAGACCCGCGATACACCCACTGTAGGGGCATATCGGAAGGGTCCCAGAACGATACATATCAGCCAATACGGGCCGATACGTAACGATACTTTGAACCCTGTTCAAAGGTAAACAACTGGATACAACGATTGTCAATGAAAGCAGCAACCAAAGACATGTGAGAGCTTGCTATGATTTCGAACCTTTTTGGAGCACAAAAGCCATAATCAGTATCCCCGTCTGCGTGGGAGCACAGCCTAGCATTTTTCCGAAACATAAATCATTCCTTTTAACCAATCTCTCCCAACTTCCAAAGCTCTGGATTATCTAAATTTGTATTGCATTATGTTATTATTCACATCAGATTTTTTATGACTCACCAAGCTTACATGTTATACAACAACTAAACCGTCTTTCACTTATGGTTGCACCTTTCAGTATGCTTGCAGGAAAGCTCTGGCCGACAGTCAACCTAGGGTCCGTGGAAGATTTGCAAGAACAGAAGAGTTAGAAGTTTCCAAGAAATAGAATAATATGTCAAATGGGAGGAGCAAGAGAGATCAGGTAGGCTTCTTCTATTTTCCGTGGTAGTATGGACGAGGGCAAGGAGGATTCAATATAGCCCTGGCACCAACCTAGCAGCTCAAATTTCTATATTAGCCAGTAGAAAAGCTGAACTAGCCAGCGTCTCTTCCTTGTTGTAGTAGTCTTTTAATCTGTTTTGTGGGTCAATAATCAATATTAGTCGCTCGGCGTTGTAAATAGTGCATGTGCTTAATAAAAGGAATTTAGTCGCTCTCGGCTTTGTATTTAGTGCTTGCTTCTGAAGAGTAAAACAACTGGTAAACTGATAAATCAATTTTCGTTCTACGCCTGTATAAATGAAGGGTGCAGTATTTCAACCTAGTCTACTTTGATGCTTTTCCTGAATTAAGATCTGCTCTTCACACCGATTTCTTAGAAACATCTACCATGAATAATAATATACAAGTATGGGGGGGTGTTCAGAGCGCTCCACACACCATTTTCCGCTCTGTTAAAAAGTTTTCGCTCCTCACACCAATTTTCACTCTATTAAATAATTTTCTTAGGCCACGTTTGCTAATGCTGAATTTGCCTCATAACTCTGAAGAACTTACTTTTCAAAGGAAATAAGCGTTTGGTGTCATGTCTTAAAAGTTGATCTGAATGCCATTTTTAGATCTTAAACTTTAAGACCTAGGCCAGGCACTGAATACGGTCAGATGCGTTCTAAACTTGGCCAAAAGTCTAAAATATCCTTTATATTTTTAATAATAACAAATCGTATCCTTCATATTAAATTGCCATCGAATGAGAAGGGAAACGACGATGGAGAACTAGAAGAAACCCTACGATGGAGATGTCACCAGAAATCTCTCAAATCCCATCTTCCCTCTCTCTCTCTCTCTCTCTGAGAACTCGAAGAAAGGGTTTCGGTCCTTCTCGATCATTTCTATTCAAGTTTCTCTAGTACAGAGAAAAAACTGTCGATCTCCACCTTTGTTGGCATGTTCTTCGTCGTCGATCTCTGGTGGAAATTCAGCTCTAATGGCTTCGAGTTCGCTTCGAGTTCTTTGCCCCATTTGGCTTCGAGTTCACCATCAATCTCTGATACAAAAGGCCTTGCTGTGAATGCAACGACAGTTAACACCCTCCCTCGCCATCTCTTCTCCACTCCTGACCACTATCTTCTCCGCCCCATTTGGCTTCAAGTCCCGCCACCACCGCTGCAACTCTCAGCAACAGCAATTAACACCCTCCCTCCCTCTCTCTCTCTCCCTCTCCATCTCTCATCCACTCCCGACCACTGCCTTCTCTGCCCCATTCGCTACCTTTGCAACTAATGTAAGCCAAAATATGTAAAATTAATTATTAATTATTTTAATTTTGATTAATTATTAAATATTTTAATAGTTTTTAGGATATTAATTTTTTAATTATTAAATATTTTAAATTGTTTCATAGAATTTATTACTATTTTTATTATTATTTTAATTCTTAATAATTTATTTTTAATTTACAAATTATTTTATATTATTACTATTTTTATTATTATTATTTTAATTCTTAATAATTTATTTTTAATTTTATTCTTATCTTAATAAATTTTTTTTATTTTTATAATTTATTCATATTTTTATATTATTTTTTAATTTAATAATTTATTTATATGAAATAGTATAAATTGAGCTCAAATTTACCAAATAATCTATTCTAGTGGTAAAATAGTAAAATCAAGGCATTTCAGATGTTAAAGGTTTGGTCCAACACAAACAAGCTTAATATTTAGAGCCTCTAAAAAGTTTAAAAAAAAAAGCATTAATGCCTCTTTTCAAATTCCACACTTTTAATATCTTTTTAACTTTTCAAATTTATCAAACACAACCTTAATCTAAAATGAATGCATTAAAAAGCATAGGTACATCTCAAACTTCTACTATTCTTATTCATTACCACCGGTGGGGAATATTTAATTGGGGATCAAATCATACTTTCATTATATTGAAATTAATAGTCAAAATAATACTAATTTATTTTTATGTTAACAAGTTAAACATTTTGAATGAATATCAGCTTATTTATTATTTATCAAATGTTTCATCATTATTTATCAAATATAAAATATGATAAAAAATAGAAGAAAGATAAAAAAAATTATATATTTCATAAAATGTTTGATTCCGGACCTGAATCAATTCTGAACAAAAATGAGAATCAATCCAATAATTAATCAAGACAAAATCATAAAACCAAAACTATTATAAATGTCCAATAAATTTAGCTCCATCAGGATAGACTCAATGATCAATCCATTGGTTCAGCTCTAGTTTTTCTTAAATAAATAAAAGTCCAATTGGGATGGGACTGAAATAACTCGAACCAAACCTGACCTGTTGACCACTAAATGTTGGGCTCTAGGGGAAAGAATAATTTGTTAGTAAATTATTTTTAAATAAATAAATAAATAAATGTTAAAATATTTGTCTTAATGTCACATCTCTTAATATTTATTTTATTAAAACAAATAATTTATTTAATTTCATTAAATAGATAATAATAAAATAAATAAATAAAAGTTGAGAGAGAAAATAGGAGAGAGAGACTTGAGAAAGAAAAGGAATGACATTTTATTTATAGCATATCATAAATAAAACGAGATAAAGAACATTGCTATGGCAGAGTTCTTTTTTTTTTTTTTTGATAATTAGATAGTGTATTTTTTTTGACAGCTAAAACCATTTTCAGTCTATCAACACAGAAATCACCCCGCACCCCCCCCCCTCCCTTGCATCCGACGAAAAGGACTTGAATGTGCGTTGTCGAATCACAAAATCAGGGAATTTCAAACCACGCAAAAGTGCTAACCTTGACACGAACAAACCTTGTTATTAATTAATTAGAACAGAAAACGGTAAAACCCATAGACACAGTGATGATTTTTTTAAGGCACACGGAATGAAGTAAGCCCGTTGGGCATATAAATATAAATAACAAGGAAACGAAGAAAAAAAGCGTAAATGTACATTGGATGGGATTGGAAGCATGTTAATTAAGCTAAATGAAAACGAATTAAGGGACGACAGATAGCCGTTGTGTATCCATAACCAAAAAAAGGGAAAAACCAAAATGGCTAAAATATCAAATGTAGATCAGGAATTTGCTGTAAGACTCCCTAGCGCAAAAACAAAAACAAAAAAAAAAACCCAAGAACATGACACAATGATCTGGCTGCAGAATAATGGAAGTCACTTCTTAGTTGACAAAGTTACCACTTCGGCCTCTTCCCCACTGCTGCGGTTGCTGAACAGCTGCACCAGAGCGTCTTGCATTGTCCTGTCGGGATAAAGCCCTCATCCTCTGCTCCTTCATGTTCGCAAACAAGGAATCCAATGTTTGAGGCCTCTGCTTAGGCACCACCTTAGCTGGCTGCTGCTGCTGCTGCATTTAGTTGTGAAACATCCATATCATTTAAAAATGCCTTCGGGCAGGGGCAGGAGTTAATATTTAATAATGGATTTAAAAAATCTACAGCCTTTGAAGACAAAGCATCCAGTGACCTGGTACTCACTAGGGTGACCATTATACAAGTCAAGAAGGTGATTGTGAGTAAATATTGAATGAATGAACCCGTCTGGCCATGTTTAATGCCTTGATCAAAACATAATATATGCCAGCTGTGATTGTGAGTTCCCCTTAATATTTGTCAGACCAATAAAGTCGCCATAGATCCAATTCCTCTTTCTTTGTTTTTCATTTACTAAAGATAGGTGGAGCCATTTATTGTTAAACAAAGTGCAAATTCGAGTGACAAACGAACTCTGGTGGAAACATAGTGAATAGAGGAATTTGAGCTCATGCACATATTGTCTCATTTTACCCTCGTAAACATATCACATGTTTCATTTTACCCACACAAGCAAATATTCGAGAAAAGATGAACACAATATTTTTCCCTCTTAAATGTAAATTTTTCCCCCAAAAAGTGCCCACTGGACCCATAATCACAGGCTGTAATAATATAGATCAAAGCTAAAACTTCCTCCCCGCCCCCCTAAACATACCTTCACAGAAAAACCTCCTTCGGTAGTTCTCCTCTGAAGTGGTCGAGCTCCAATCCTGCAGCAATAACCAATCCATGGTTGAAAAGGAAAACAGATCTATCAAAGGGATTCTTCGGGACTGTCATTCATGGAGATGAGTATGCTTACCATGGTGCATTCTACTGTCTTTTAAACTAAAAAAAGATAAGACAAACCAGTATATAGAAACAACATAGTATAAATGAAATTTGCTTCCTCCCTTTGATGTTTCCTCTAACTTGGAACCTCCCAAGATGGCAGTTATCAACACTGTAGTAAAATACCTCCCAGTAGAGATACGTCAATCCTAAAAGGATTCCTCCATGGAGCAAAATCACTATGTGACAACCCTGGGAATTATTTTTGAACTATCCACTGAAAAGGAGATTTCTCATTCTGAGCAACCTCCAAACTTTCTTGCACATCCAGCAAATTCAAGCAAACGATTAACAGGTGAGTAGTTTAATCAACCAGGTCTTGACTCAAACAAGACTGCATATTCACAACTATCCGCCGATGCAGCTGCTGCTTCATACAAAACCACAACTATTGAGAGAAAATGAGATGCATATTCTTCGTATTTCCAAGAATTCAGTTCCCTTCCTTGCAATATAAATGCCTTTCACTAACACGATTTCAGTCAAGTGACAAATATCAATTTCTTCATTTCAAAACCCAATCAACATATCAGAGACTCAAAAGGAGGCTTAAAAAGGGTCAAAACCCAGTTACTAATCAATCTCCAAAGCAAAATAAAGTAGGTGCATTGTCCTTCAAAAAAACATCTAAGATTTTGTTGGCAAAAGGCTGTAGAAAAACTTGGAGCAAGTTCCTGAAGCAATGAGCTCCCATGGAACCAGCACTCAAATATGTACACATCAAATGCAGCATCTATACCCTGAGCTCAAAATACCCACGAAGGGGAAAAAAAAGGTGGAAAGCCAGCAACGAAACCACATATGAAGCTAAAGTGGCTGTATTGAGGGAAAGCTGGCAAACCCAACAACAAACTTCCTGAATGAGTTCGATGACATCTGACAGCTCAAGTGAGAAACAGCTGAGTTCATCATGCAAGTAGAGTGTCTTTATCAAAAGACCTTACCTGCCATAGTGTAATTATTCTTCAGAAAAAATAAGCATTTAAAACCAGAAGATTCTAGAAGCATCATTATCCCATCAGGTTGACCATGACTAATCAAAACCTGAGCACTTTTACCAAGCTAAAATTTGGAAGGGAAGTTAGTTATCAGACATGGCAATTAGATGCCTAGAACGGACGGCACCGACTTTCCACAGTCCACAAAAAACACCTCCTACTCCCCTAGTAGGTTATACCTTCCAATCCAAAAGGCCCAAACCCAATATATAGGCAATTCTCATGCAATCCAAACAATTCTTGCTAGCAAAACCAATGATCCATTTTTGCAACAGCAAGCCCATTAGGTAACCTCAAAATTCCCTTGACAGCTTTGAAAGCCACAACCATGTATAATATGCACTTTCAACCTAAAAGATCATCTTTTCCCACTGCATAAACCAGGGGGAACATTCTACCTTACATTCAACAGAAAGTCCCATACTCTGAAACAAAATTTTTCTTGAGATAATTCTCCCAACTTGGAAGCTTTCTGTCCCAGGAAAAAATACCCCAACAGAAGCAGCACCATCTAATAACTCAACTTGAAGTACATGTGAGACATGCCATCAGTGATAGGAAGGGACCATTATTTACCTGCAAACAAATAAACACCAGAACTTCAAATCAGAAGTTACAGCAGAATGCCATCATTCAACTGTCATTTACTAGGAGATCAGGAATACCTTGGTTTATTCCAATTGACCACCCTATTACGGTTATTAATAGCTCTGTTGCGAATAGGAGCAGCTGCAGCCTTCCTTGCAGCTTCAGTTGTCAAAGGAAACTGGTCCCCTTGGAAATTGGAACGTCTCTGAGCAAGCACCCCCTGGATCAAGAAAATGGATAGTCCAACAATAATGAGTAGATACAAATGCAAACATATTTTCCTCCCACCCTTATCCATATTTTTACAAAATTTCCCGGATCCATTTAAATCATTTAAATTACTGAATCTATCCTATTATAGAAATACGACTTTCATCACATATAATCATCGAATAGTAATACCTGTCTAAGTGAGGATCTAGAATCCATATAGCGTCGCACCTTAGAAGCATTCCCTTGAGGGGCAGCCCCACCACTGAACAATTTTTGGCTTTTATTCTGCAGAAAATATGTCATCATTAAGATATGAGATGAATACAGAATTTTTGTAAAAGATGATGTGCCATATCATAAAGTAATAGATGCTTACTGGAGCCCTTTGCTTTTTAGTTTTAGAAGTAGATTTCTTGGACATCTTGATAATATCATCTGCGTTGAGGAAAAGAACACAGGAAAATAGATGAAAAGTCAGAATGATGTAAAACCTATACATAAAACCTCATCATTGTACAAAACCTTCAATGATAAACTGCATACCTAAAGTCATGTCCATTTTCTTCTCTGTCAGAGCAATTGCTTCGCTTGTTAGAGGCTTCGCAGCCATCTGGAATAAAGTACAATTGGTAAGCAACACAAGTCAATATATGAATAAGTAATCACGGAGGAAGAAGGAAGGTACCAGGAATGAATCAGGAGAAAATAACAGCAGTGAGGGGAAAGAAAAGAAGAAAATAAAAGTTCATAAAAAACTCTTTCCTAATAAGGTCAACCTACGGCAACCATAACTGCTATAGAAAGAGGATGTATAAGCATTACAGATATCAGATTCTTCGCAACAGTACCGACTACCGAGGGAACTACAGAAGGCTAGAAACCATCGAATATTTGATGGAAGGATGAACAGGCCTCATAAAATTCTCAGGCAGATCAACTCTTTCCACCATGACTACGAGAGTACTTTGATATCAGATTCACTGCCTACGGAGAAAGATGGTAAGACTATAAAATCATCTTTTTATGGGGCTTTCAAGGAGAAGAGACATCAGTGCATAAGAGTTGTTGTAGATTGTCAAAACATCATCAACCTCAGGAAATAGCAGATGTTGGCACCTCCAATGGGAGTATAAACAAATCATCATCGACATGACGGAATTATCTAAGGGCATCACGCCGATGGATTCCAAAAAAAAAAAAAAGAAAAGAAAAGGAGAGAATTTATAACTTATGGAAGGAAACAAATCATAATCGACATGACGGAATTATCTAAGGGCATCACGCCGATGGATTCCAAAAAGAAATGAAAAGAAGAGAATTTATAACCTATGGAAGGAAAGGAATATAACCTATGGACCTTCGGAACATAAACCCTACCTTCAAAGTGATAACAAAATACACGAATGGACCAAGACGATTGAACGTACAGAGAACTATAAACCCTAACCAGACCATGAAATTCGTGACTACAAAAACAAATTTTAATATATGCATCATTATCTATCGGTTATAATTCAAGATTGGAAAGCAGAAACCTAGACATAACGGAGCAACACTACCGATTAGCCCGATATCTCAAATACACCACATATGGCATCAGAAGAAACCTTATTCTCAGGAACCCTAGTAAATAGGAAAGGGGAAAATTTCAAATAGACATCAATCCAACCGCTACATATGTGCAGAAAATTAAAAGAAACTGAAATCTTACCGAATAAAATTGAAAGAGAAAAACAAATAAAGAAGGGAAGCAAGAATACACCAGATCGATGAGGAGAAAACTTACCGATTTGAACTTTGAAGAGCTGCAATAAAAAGCTAAACGAACGGGAATCTTCCTTTCCGAAAGTAGGGTTAGGGTTTTTCGAAGAGAAGGGGAGGCGAAGGATGAAGAGGAACGAAGGGAGGAACTCAGCTTTCGTGAAACGCGAAAAACATCGAACAATGATAACACCAAAGCGAAAATCTATTATATTTCTAAAATTTTCTATGAGGCGGGGGGAGAGGGTCATTGCTTTTATAGCTAGCTGTAGCCATAAGGACGGCGGGTCTCAACATAAAATTAGAAATCATACTTTGTGATTGCTTTTAAGTCCGACCGGCTGGGAGCATTTCCGGTTCTCCTACCGACAAGATGTTCCCATGTGTGGTTGCGATCTCATACGGGTAGGTGTGACTGTGGATATAGTTGTTTGGGCCGGGCCCCCGATGCCGTACACGTATACTGGATGGGTCCTGTTCGGTGGATCATGATCGGCTGGGCCGAGAATTTAGCCCATTATCTGGATTAAACTTCAAATGGGCCAAATCCAAGGGGTGGTTAAATTGAAAGTGAGATTGTTGCCTCGAATTTTGCTGAACTTTGGCAATCAGCAATGATTTAGTATTATGAGCCAGCCAATGTTTTAGTTTGTACCTGAATTAATGGTGGTCTTATTGGCATTTCTGTGTAAGCAATTTGGGCCCATGCTCTTCCCCCAAAATAATAATAAATTAGAGAATTATTCCGTATATATAATATTTTGATATCCTTTTATTCATGTATATAGATAAATTTTATAAAGATTTTTTGGCATCCACTTTTTAAGGTTGTAAGTTAAGATTATTATTTTTTTATATAAATATGTTATTTAATTTAACAGATTAAATAAAGTTTTGTTTCTAAAGATTTTCGACTAAGAGTTTTATTTTTTAAAATAATAACCCATTTTATTGATCCTAAATTATTTGGAATGACTTTTTTTTTCTTCTCTTTTTAATGGGGATAAGCACGACTAACATTTCTAAGAGTGGAGGTAACTGGATAGACACATGTACGAGGAATGAAGCTTTTTATTTGAAAGTGGTACTAACCACTTTTGAGATGCTCTTAAGGCTCTGTTTGGAAGTACAAATATGTACACTACAAATGTATACAGAATAACTTTTCTTTTCAAAAATCAATTAAATAACTTATTGTTTGTCTTTTTTTCGCTACTATCATTACTTTATCTTTTAAGGCTCAGCTTGGAAGGAGTACAAATACAAATATATAGAGTGCAAAACCTTATATTTTGTATTATTTTGTATGTATTTGCACCATACATATTTGTATTTACACTCTGTCCAAACTAAGCCCAAAGAACATCATTTAGGCCTGGTTTTGGATGCGAAAAAGGCTTATTTGTTTGCATTGCCATATTCATTTGTCTACGACCATTAATAAAAATGAGAATTGTAAACTCTTATGAAAAAAGAAAAAATAAGTGAATTTACCCAGGAAACACTTACCTGGGTAAGTGCATTTACCCATGTTCTTTTTTTGTTTGATTTACCCAGGTAAATGAAGTTTCTTATTTTTCCCATGTTCTTCTGCAACACCCACTTTCCTGGGTAAATTGTTATTTTTTTCATCTCTTTCCAATTTTACCCTTTGGACATGGATTTGAAAACCATGTCACAAAGTCTTAAATGCCCCTAAAATTTTTGGAAATAAACCATGCTGCCTCTTCTTTTAAACCCAATTTGAGCCTAATTCAAGTTTTTCCTCTGGAACGATAGAAGAAAACACCATCTGCCATTATTTTGGGCTCAAAGTTTGGGCATTTAAGACTGTTGTCATAATTTCTGGTTTTCTTTATGAAAATCAAACTAGTTCTGGTTATTTAATGAA